ACTGGGTACCACAAAATGTTAATTGGTTATTTTAAATGTAAAACCAAAGCAAAGTCACAAAATGTTAATTGGTTATTTTACATGGGAAACCAATCCAAAGTCACTACGTACCACAAAAATGTTAAGATACTATGCTTGCTAAAGTATTTCTTAGGCGGCACCTTGTTTTTTAACAGCAAGGCGCCCAATGATATGCAAGCTTATGCCGGTGGGAAGTGGGATTGTTGAGTGCCGATGTAAACCAAGATACATAAGTCTCCAAATGTCGATAAGCAGGTTCACGTCACATGCTCAAGTACACACACACATATGTTAAAACCTGCTATTGACAAAATATGCGGATGAAAGCACAAATGAAAAATAATAAAAATAAATAAATGCTACCACACTCATACGCACAGGCATTTTTTCGGTATAATTTAATTCAAGTAAAATTCTACGTTGCCCATACATCCCTGCACAGTAGAATGCATGGCATCCATGCAATTCATCATCCAAAATTTTGTAGGTCGTGAGTTAACATTATGCTACATTCACACTAGGTGGTTCTTTGATTAGCAAAATAATATATATAATGCCAAGTTCACACCCACCGAATTATGCGCTTGCACTCATCAAAATGTTGCGCCTTTCATACCACTCGCCACCCAACAATACATATATACGTTATAATATCCACTGCAACGAAATCTGACCCTATTTCAGCCGTAACGATGTCTCATATCGCCACTATGAGGAAACGAGCCGAACAACGCGCCCACCGCTATCCGCTACCGTGCCGCCTATGCGACGCACACCACCCTATTAGGCTCTGCCCTATTTATCGGGCAAAATCGCCCGAGGAGAGACTGCGCGAAGCTTCACTGGGCCGCTATTGCGCAAACTGCCTTGCCATGACCCACCAGCTGAAGGAGTGTCAAAGCGAGGGAAGATGCCGTAGGTGTGGCGAGAAACACCACTCCACTCTGCATTTAGAGGATGAGCCAACGCGCCAACGAAAATGTGAGTCATGGAGGGCACGAGGCAATGAAGGCGACTCAGAGGAACCAGTCCCCAAACCATGGAGTGTGCAAGTGGAAGAAGCCGAGGCAGACGGCACTCTGTCACTATACGCGTCCGACTCGGGAACCGAGACTAGGCCTCCCGGTCCAGAGATTGAAGAAGGGGAAGTTATTGAGCGCGGAGCGGGGACTCGGCCTCTCCGCCCGCTTACTAACGGGGGACCGGAAACACGGTCTTTCCGGCCTCTGCTGCGGCATGAACGCAGAAGTACGGCTGGATCCGAAACACGGGTTCACCGAGCACGCCACCAAGGGCGACAAAGCCGCAGAGCGGGAACTCGGCCTTTCCGCCTGCGCCAATCCACAACATTTCAACACGAAGATAGACTGGTGACTAGGCCTCGCCAGCTATCACGACCGCACGCTTTTCGAAATACCATAATAACGCCATCACTCCAGCCCACTATATCCGTGGCGCCGACGGCTGTTGTAAAGGTGGAGGCGAGAGGGCGCCTACATCTGGTCCGCGCGCTTATTGACGCCTGCGCGCCGAACACTATCTTGTCCGCGGATCTGGCCCAAGAGCTAGGGCTTCAGGAAACCTATATCGGCGGGCAACGAGGGTGTTTCCTATGCATAAGGGGCAAGCATGGGCAGAACAAGCGGGTGGCGACCCATGCGCTTATTATACCCCACTACAACCATGTCTCACCTAGGACTAATGTGGATCCCTCAGTTGCTACGCCGTATATCCACATTCGGCTTGCGGATCCAAATTTTTTCGCATCAGCACCGATACGCCTTGCCCTTGGGTCGGACGTATATGCGGACCTAATCTTGCCCGGAACTTTACCGACGTCGTTTGGCCCCCTCATTGCGCAAAGCACTATTTTTGGTTGGGTGCTGTCAGGGGCGTGCCGGCCGTAAATTTAACTTATATAAAAAACCAAAATAAGATGTGAATTATTTTAATTTTTTTGTAATGAAATAAAGTGCATTGAATTATAACCATGTTTGTATCCCATGATTTTCACTCTATGATTTACTAGGTGTTTTACGGGAAAAAGGATGGAACCGCTCGTCGAAGATCTTGGTGATGGTGGCGCCGCTCTCAACAGCACAACATACATGAATTCACACACTTGTTTTGTAATTGTAAGAACATATGAAGCTGGTAGCTCGGGCGTTTCCCAAGCACAG